AAGCCTTCAAAGTGAAAGAAGGCAAATAGTAGCAAGTTCGTACAAGCAAAAGTGATAATTGAGTATCAGAAGTATTTCTTGGCAATCTCCAGGAGGCAAGAGCACGTCTCTTGAGGTCTAGAAAACATGAGCATGTGATCAGAACCAGGGACAACCATTACTTCATCAGGTGGATTATTTTCAATCATCCATCTCTGTAAAGCTTCCTTTATTATGACATCTTCATCACACACGATATAAGCTCGAGGAATGGATCCATATTTCTCCTTCGTAACCCCCACTTTTTTTTGAGTTGCCTCGTCACTAAACAAAGGGTGAGGTCGCAGCAGCAACATTGCTAGCGTAAGATCCTGTCAAGGTTTTTTTCAAAAAATATATATATGTATCAGCAGTAAAAAAGAAAATTCAAGCAAATCTACTTAAATCTTGTATGAAGAGATGCCGTTTACCTCAGTAGGGGAGAGATGATACAACTGGGTTGCCATGCAGTCGGGCCCAAACAACAAGGACGTTGGAGGATTGTTGGGCCCATTATCAAACACATATTGCGAGTCCATGAAGGAACCTACTCGTCTGGCATACTGATAATACATGTTCGAAGTAAATATCACGGGTCAACATACAGAGAAAGTTTAGCGGTGGCGTTATTCGCCCACTCTTTGTTTTATATATATATATATATATATATATATATATTTTTTTTTTTTTTTTTTTTTTCATGATATTATAAACATCATAAATATCTAACCCAACAAGGTTGAAAAGAAGAAAAGATCAAGCTTAAGGTCCATCTCTAACCCAGACAATTTTGCCAATCTAATTTGCTGGCTTGTATAGAAAAAGCTACCATCATATGGATATCCAATGTAGCAAGCATAAAAGATCTGAAATAACACAAGCCAGGGCCAAAAATAACAGCCCTACAACTAAGTAAGACATCAAGAAAGCATAGAGTATAGAATCATGCTCCTTGCTTCTATTCTTCCTTTAGAAAATAATGCTTCTCTGGAATCATTTAAGTTTGTCTGTGTGTGTGTGTGTGTGGAGAGAGGGAAAGAGCAAATGATACCTCTTCACTTGCAGATGTGAAGCTGAAGTCAGGACCTGGCATGATAGCTGCTGCAAAGACTGCAGAAGAAATTTTCTCAGGGAACCTTTCCATTGCAACAGATATACATAGTCCACCCATGCTGTGACCCACTAGAATCACCCTTTCTTCTGGTACCAAAGATTCCATGAATTTCATCAATGGCTCAAAATAGTCTGAGATCGATTGGAGCTCGTCTACCCGCTTAGGGTGGACCCCAGAAGCAGCCATGTCCAGAGCTGTAACTCGGTGACCAGCTGATTTAAGCAAAGTTGCCACCTTATACCAACACCATGCTCCGTGACAGGCTCCATGGACTAGCACAAAATGCCTCTGCCTCTCCATCTCCTACCACCCCTGACTCTTGCTTTCCTATACTGTGTGTGTATTTTGTCCTGCTGGCTATATTATAGTATGATTGGAGGAGTCCAAGTTAGCTGTTAGCTGTTATAAATACAAAAAGGCTGTCGTGTCACATTTGGAAAATTCAAAGTCCTTCTAAATTGTCATTTCACCGTCCCTTGATAGCATCTCCATTTGACCACAAGTAGGCATTGTGCAATCAAATTTTCTTTGTTATGCATCTATTCCAGAAATTTTATCAGACTCTAAACGTAACTAATAATATTTATTTCATTTACTTCAAAAATAACTAATAATATTTGTTTCGTAAAAAAAAAAAAATAAACACAAGAAAAATAGAGAAATAAAAAAGAGAAAATTTATAAAAAAATGACTCTAAATAAAAATATTTTTTATAAATTTTGATGCATCTAGACATAATTTTTTTCTTTTTCTCTTTTTTTTTAAAGTCGGTTTATGGCGTAGTGGAAACTCACAAGAAAGAAAATAAATACAATTAATCCGAAATCTAGATGCCAGCCTATTATAACTTGTTGAATTGCATACAAATACTAAAAAATAGGCTTCAATTCCGTTGATTCAAAAAATATCGAAAATTAAGATAAACTTGAGATACTCTCTCATAAATTTTTATTAATCAAAGAAAACTGCGTTTTTTAGCCTCCAAGTCATACATAAATAGGAAAATTCAGTTAAAACCTTAAAACAATTCAAAAAGGAAATAAATACAAAAAAAAAAAAAAACCAAAAAATAAGAAAAAAATCTAGAAAAATAGTAAAAATCAATTTTGAGGGGGTCTAAACGAGTGTTTTTTTTTGCTAAAATCACCACTACATCATCAACATAGCCCATGAGTTTTGCTCGTTGGCCTATTTGGCATCGACTTAGACTAAAAAAACCTCGAAATTGAGTCGACAGCTTTTTTCAACTTCTATCATATTCATAGCGTTTTAGAAATTCCAAAACCTATTAGTCCGCATCAGCTTATCTTTCCAAAATCAGCCCATAAAACACCTATCGTTAGTTAAATTTTGAATATTTTAGAATTTCTCCATGTATCGGCTTCCTTCCAAAAAAAAAAAAAAAAAGAAAGAATTATGTAAGTTCAAGTGTTATAATCAAGTAGATGCAATCTTCTTCAGAAGGATGGTCATGTTGCAGAAGCAGCACAAGCCCAATCTCTAATAGATCTATAATATATTGATTATATTGGGTCAAGTGTACAGGTCCGTTATGCTTTTTTTATAATAACTCTAGTTTAAATAACCATCATATTTGATAAATTCTTTTAGTAAAATAATGCTTAACTTTCTTCTCTCTTTTTTATTATTATGAAGCTAATTTGAACTATTTATTTAAATTGATTTCTTTCCTCCCTTTTTTATATTTTTTAGTTATTCGTTATTTGCATTTATTTCATTGTTTTTATTATTGTTGTTTTTTTTTTATAATTACTAGAAAAAACTCCTATATTTTATATTCAAGTTGTTCATGAATATGTCTATGTGAATCCAATTAATTTTCTCAGACTTCTATATATCTTCAATGATGATGGATTTTTTTTCTACGAAATATTGCCTACAATGTGCTTGGGTTTACTTTTAGCGTCATAGGTCTACGTCATTTGCAATTGATTTCTTAGGGAGTCTTGGAGCAAGTTTTCGTATAAAAGAATTGGTCCACTATATTCTCTCTAAGAAAGTTGAAAAATGAGCAATAACTCTTTGAAGTAGTGAATTGAATGATCTCAATTATTCAACTTGGCATTAATTCTTAGTTTGAATTCCACAACTGACATCAACTTCTTGCTTACATTTTGTTGACCAAGGCTCTATCCTAATACTGTGAGGTTGTCCAACCTTTAAAGTTCTGGATCTAGCTCCTCCTAGAATAGAAATTGAAGTCCAACTGTAGTCTTACTGCTACCTAAATTGAACCACACGTCTCTGGCTTGCATTTTGATAGCTAAAACCTTTATTTGGCCAATATTTTATTGATTTATTCGATTCCAAAAATCTTTCATCGTTTCTTACAAAAACTTGTTCTAAGTTGTTGGCTAGCCATTAGTTTTATATTTATTTGATTTGTCACTCTAATTTGGTATTCAGAAAACCAGACATGACACCAAAGCTAATTGTGGTTTGTAGATTTGATGGAGAATTTTGTCAAGATGAAAGTAAGGACGCCTATATTGGAGAACAAGTCTATGCTATT